GGGTGCTGGGCAAGTCCACCTCCGGTGGAACTGCTCTGAAGGAAGGAAGGAGGGGGAGACGGATGGACTAGGGAAGAAGGGTGAGGATGATGGGTTTGTAGAAGGTGGGTACCACAATTTATTAATATTTAATTAATGTTTTTATCTAGTTGGGCGAAGGAGTAGGCCTCACCTCATGTTAGCATTTAACAGAGAAATGAACAAACAAATTAACGAAGATCTGACATTGCAACAAATTTGTAAGGTGATATATGACATTGTAATTTTTAAAATATGAGGTATAAGATTGTGATTTGATCCGTAATTGTGGTAAATTTGTATAATTTACCCTTAATATAATTAACAATGTGATACTAGATTTAGGTGTCGTCACCATAGCATCTCATGCGTTTGAAAGTTCTTTTCCATGAGACAATACTTCCGTTCACCTGTCCACTTAGTTGCAATTAGCATATTTTTAGTATATTAAAGTCATGGGAAGTGCTTGTGTCCTCTTATGTAGAGGTAACAAATTAACTCATTAGATTGTTAATCGACACTTATTATGACCTATTTAATTTGATTTCACCTTGCATCATCATCACCATTACTGATATCTCCTCTATATTATGCTGATATAAAATCAAATGGGTTTTAACGGGTACCCATAACAAGCCAATGCGTTAATTTGCCATCTCTACTCCCATGTGGCACTTACTTGTCATCCCACTTATGATTAACAAATCTTTACCGTCCAATAATCATAATAAGAACAATTTATTCTCTTTATCATATCTAAAAATCACATTTGCAAACAAATCATTCAATTTGAAGATCAGTTAGTTATCCATACATGTGAAACCAATCAACGGTTTTGGCAACAATTAACATCCTCATGAAGAACCTTAGAATGTATATAACCCTATTCCGGTCTGGTCCGGTATGGAATGATCCGATCAAAATAGGATTTGGTTTGTTTATATTTAAATAAATTATATATATATATATTGTTATATATAATATGTAATTTTTCATTTTCCTTGGAAGATTGACACACAAGTGATCCCGTTCATTTATTTTATGCATATAAATGGCTAAAAGATCTTTAAATTGAATAACTTTTGCATATATGATCTTTAGAGGGTGACAAAGAGTGAACAATTTCGATTATGATCTTCGGACAATAAATGTTTGTTAATTGTAAGTAGTGGACAAGTAAATCTCTCCATGAGCGAGACACATGCATTATCCTAAAGTTATAATCGTAACTATCTATTTGATTAACTGTTTAGTCATTTACTGAACAAAATCAATGACTTTGATAGCTAAATTTTTTGTGAGAATGTATTTGTTACGTATGAATGACTAAAAATCTTTAATTTGATTTAAATTTTTAAATAATTATAAAAAAAAATGAAACATTTTAACTATAATATCTTTTTTCTTGGACAAAAACAGATATTAATAAAACAATAGAGAGAGTAAACACAAAGTATTATCCTACCCTTTATGGGTGAATGGTGACCATAAATGGCTTTTATTTGCATGCATATACAAATTAAGCTATAATTAATTGACATGGTTGTGTCGGTTATGTGGTTACTGCTATTGTTTATTGGGATAATATTTGGACATTATGATAGCATGTGGTCTTATTTGATGATAACAAAGAATCATTATGTCGATCATAAGATGAATGTCACGTTAAGACCGTCACATAGTGTTACCAATTTATATACTGTGATTAATGAGTTTATAGTTTATAAATTTACAGCTTACGTGACAGTGTCATATTCAAATTAATTGAAGAAGTATGGCTTACCATGCTTAATACTTTGCTTGTTTCATATTTTGTTATGGCACATACTACATAATTATATAGTTTGAAGAAATTGTACTCTTTACGATGCTTAGAAGGAGGAATTAAGGCGTATCCCAAGGACAAATCTTACACAATCAATTCAGTTTATTCGTTTAAATCAACCGTAGATTAATAATACATGTGATTGGTGCCAATCTTTTGCTGTACTCCTTGTAACCACAGATTTGAAGTGATAAAGTGAGAAATGGGAACTACATGTGTCTTGTTGCGTCAAATTAAGGAAAAGGGCAAGTAAAGATACACCAAACATTGAATTTTTTAAATAGAGCGACTGATATATAATCATGTAAGGAAGTTTATTTTTATTTAATAAGCCGCATTAAAGAAGGTGAAATCAAATTTAGATTTTTAGAGTATAAAGATAATATTCTTAACTAATCGAATTATGAATTTTAAGTCTCTACATTTGTATATCCTGCATTTACAAGCACTTTATAGATCTGGACCATTCTATTAGTCTAATGTCACACGTCAAATTGAAAATTTTGACACATATCCCTCGAGCTACAGCTCTTTGCAGAGTGTTTTCTTTTGTCAACTTATACCTTTCTGGCTGTTCACCAGTTGACTCGAGGAGAAGACTATAATGAGGCAAGCAACTTGTAGTTGAGAAGTCAAATCAGAAATGTCAGCCCAAAAAGTTGACCATGATCAGATATTATTTTGCATGAAAATAATAATAATGATAATAATATAAGTATTTGATTTTATCCAAAAGAATCTAAACGTTGATTTACTTATTTAGAATCAGAAAAATCATGAATATAAAATAAATTGAATGGATATGAGATCGATCAACTAAAGTCATCTTCAATCAAAAAGGGATCAAAAGGTCATGTTTAGCCTTATAACTTTGCAAGAAATTATTTTTTAATAAATAGTATCAAGTCATATTTTATATCATCTCCAACCGAAAGGGCCAAAAAATCATAGGCCAAAAAATAGCCTATTTGACAAAAAACATATCTTCATCCGAAAGGGGCTATTTTTTAGCCCCCTCAATAATTTATTGTTTTAATTGAATTAAAATATCATATTAAAATAAGATTTTCGGACATATTTTGAGTGTCATTTGTAGCTAAATTAATAATCCTCTGGATTTCTTATCTTTATGTAATGAGAATGATGTGAAAAATTGGTGAAGAATTGAAGTAAAATGAGATAAGATAGTATGAAATTGTGAAAATGATGTGAGAAATGGGGTAGAAATGGCTTAGTGTTGTGGTCTATTTTATCTGACAAGGAGAGAGAGGGCTGGCGACAAGGAGAAGAGAGAGAGATGTGTTTGTAGAATTGTAGGGGAATATGTGTGTTGTTATCCCTCCTACATTGTGCCTTTATTTATAGTAGTAAAATGAGAGAAAATATTCCTTCTTCCCCAAGGAATACAAGATACAATAGGAAAAGATAACTAGAATCCAATCTAATCTAGGATTTACATAATCACACTTAAACTTGAAATGTTTACAACTCTTAGGTATTTATAGGAAAAAAATTAGAATTTTTTTTTAAATGTCATCTTAAAAAAAAAAGGTAAAAATATCAAACAGTAATTTGACGTCAGCATGACGTCAGTAGCATGTGTTTGGGCTGGCCTATAAGGCTAGCTGCTCTTGGCTAGCCCACTGGCCGGTTCTCCAATTTTTAGCCAGGTTGGTTGGAGATGGCCTAAGTACTTTTTTATTTTGTGTGTATTCGTTTACGAATTGTAATGTGAGAGTAACATATTTTTTCTATTATATATGTTATAATAAAAACACGAAAAGTTAAAAATCGAAATAATTTAAATATTCATTTCAGTCAGAAAATATACCATAATAATGTGGTGCTAAGCTCACTATATGTGCAGGTATTGAGTTCTGTCGATTGACTTGAACAAAAGAGAGGTGCCAAGAAATCTATTCTCCTTCTAGAAGAAATAAGCCAATACCTAACATTTTTATCCTTCTAATTTTCCAGTCGTTGGTAATATAGTGGAGTGTCCCATCAAAGTCAAAAATGTCTGCTTAATTTGCAATGGCTTCCCCACACCCACTTCCATCTCCACTAAACTGCTTGTTGTATAAACAACCACCTCACAAATCTATCTTCATCCCATGCATTCTAGGTGAGCCAAAATATGAAGATTACGAGCTTTTTATACCATATTCTTCTCTATTTGCTTGTTTTGTGCATTTGCATTGCAGAATCTCAAGATCCCTTGGGAGATTTTTGCAACAAGGATAGCACTAAAATAAGTAATGGCACTCAAATATCACAAAATATCGATAGCTTGTTGGCTGAATTGGTTCCAAAAACTGCCTCAACCGGTTTTTTGGCTACCTCCTATGGGATGAACGAAGACCAAGTCTATGGCCTGGCTCAATGCAGAGGTGACGTTGTGGGCACCAAAGACTGCTCAACTTGCATCCAAGATGCCGCAAAGCAAATTCGCCAGCGCTGTCCGAACCAAGCCGACGTACGAATTTGGTATGATTATTGCTTCTTGAGGTACAGTGACAAGAGCTTCATTGGGGAAGTTGACACATCTTATGGTATATTTTACTACAATGTTAATAATGTGACCGACCCCGAGAACTTTAACAAGGAACTAGGAGCTCTGGCGGATAAGATTAGGGCACAAGCTGTTGTGCCGAAGAGTGGAGGGCTTGGGAAAGGTCAGACAAAGCTATCACCATTTGTGACACTATATGCCCTAGTGCAGTGCACAAGGGACTTGCCTCAGCTAGGCTGCGCTCAGTGCTTGTCCATTGCAGTGGGAAATTTCCCAACTTTTTGCAACAACAGAAAGGGATGTAGAGTTTTGTATAGTAGCTGCTATGTTAGATATGAGCTCTATCCATTTTTCTTCCCTCTTGATGCAAACAATACCCTGCAGGCCGTGGATGAAAATAATGTAATGGCTATAGTTTATCCATAAATTTTGTACTCCTAGTATACAATACTCCGAAAGGAAGATGTACTATTGCGCAATAAAGGGGTACTAAACCGTGTTTTATTTAGAGTTTATTATCTGTTTTGTTATGTTCATGACTAAAAGTTTATAACCAATTCTATAATCTATTTGTGCATAATTTTCTTCGTTGAATTGTCCTTTAAAGCTAATGGAATTCCATATTTTGGTGCCAAGTCATTCAAATTTCAAAGAAAGAACGCACAAATTTTTACAAGGCTTGCATGTTGCATCCCAATTACAAATCTCCTCATTCATTTACATGTATGAAATCATATGTTTTTCATCAATGTATGTATACAATTTTTCACCATTTGGGTCCTTTACGTCCTAATTTGTACTCAAAGTAAACTAGTAGTTGGCTTTGCCACGGCTTCTGGGAAAGGGGATGACATCCCTTACATCATTCAGGCCAGTGGCAAACAGAACCATATGATCAAACTCAAAATTGAATCCCGAGTGCTTCACGGTTCCATGCCGGCGAAGATCCAAGTACCATTCGTACTGCTGTGCTGCCAATCCCAATTCCTTAACCCTGCAAACAAGAAACACCAAAATATGAGATTTATTTATTAATTTCCATGTCCAAAAGAAGGCAAGAACAACCTTTTGAGTTTTTGGCTATTATATAAGACGATTAATGCAAATGAGTACCTTGTAGTTAGAACGTTGATGCGCTCCTCATTTTGGCTACCAGAAATTAACCTCCCAGCCTGCGAAAAATAAGCCTTTTTCAGCATCGAAACCAGTATTTGATTAATTTGGATTTTTATAGGGATGGGGAAGCTTCGATAAAAGGTTTCTCATGGTTTCTTAAAGTGCAAGTATGAGCTTACCTTTGGAACAACCATATCAAATGCTGCAACTGTTTTTCCATCATCGTTAACCCGGACATAAAATGGCTTGGTTTCTTTTGGATAATTGTATACAATTACAGGCTTCTTGTAGATCTCATCAGCCAAATAACTGTAATGCATGAAAAAGAAAAGGTTAGGAACCTCAATTGAGATATTGGCCAATTTAGATTACTTACCACAATGTTCATATGCATACCTTAGATCCGCTTCAGTTAGTGCAGCACCCCACTCGAACTTTGTGTCCTTTGTCTTTTCTGTAACCTGGCAGGTTAAAATCAATAAACTTCCGTAAATAATGTTGCTGGAAAAAGACATAGTTGTCAGAATTATACTCAATGGGAATGTTAATTATACAATCAAACCTTCTTTAAAGCATCTAAAGCTTCAGTGTAGGAAACTCTTTCAAATGTACTCAAAACCATTGACTGAAGACGTTCAGTTCTGGTTTTGTCGATTCGCTGAGAAAGGAATTTCATATCTTCCGAACAATTTTCCACTACCCATTTGCAGAGGGACTTGAAAAAGTCACCTGCACAGTCGATTGCTTCCTGCAAGCTCCAGAAGAAAATTTTAAAAAAATGCGCACAAATTCAGTCATGCCAAAAAACATTAACTTGTACCTCTAATTCTGAAAATGCCAATTCAACTTCAATCATCCACATTTCTGCAGTATGTTTTGGGGACTCTCCTTTCCCTGCTTGAAATCGTGGCCCGAATGAGTACACATTTCCAAAGGCGCAAGCGTAGCTCTCCAGATGCATCCGGCCAGAAGAGGTTAGATAAGTTGGGCTAGAGAAGTAACCCTCAGAAGATTTAACATTGTCAACCTTCTGAGAAGTTTTCGGTTTTGATTTCTCTCTTGCTTCCAATTGTGATGCTAACTCATTTGCTTTCTTTAAGTCCTGCGTTGCAGCAGCTACTGCTTCCTTATTGCTGTCGCTCCTCTTGAGTTCCTCTAGTAAATTACTTTTCTCTTTTACTGCAGCCTTGATAACATCTATGCTAACAACGTCTATTTCAACAACGGCTTTCGTAGGCTCCTCCTTTTCACCTGCTGCTGCGAAATGGCTAGTGACATGGAATTTTTCACTGGATCCTTTGCCGTCTGTAGTTGTTATAATGGGTACGTGCACCGAAAGAAAACCATGGTTTTGACAAAATGTGTGAGCTGCAAACTCCAGGGCATTGCGGATTCGCATGACAGATTGCACCTAAAATAATTTGGAACATGTCATATTGCATTAGGGAATCAGTAGACGTCAAAAACTTAGAAAATAAACCAACACTGTATATCAATTGTATGCGCCCTTTGTCATGACCAAAAAATCTAAATGAATTATATATGTCAAACACTTACTTTCAAAACAGATACCAAAAATTGAAGAAACACAACCAAATAACAATGGGAGATGCAAATTACCGTAGTTGTCCGCGGTCTAATGTGGCAAAACTCCCTTAGTTTATCTAGAGAAACACGTTTTTTCGATAATGGATACTTGCTATATTCTACTGTTCCGATGTGATGAACTTTATCCACTTTCAGCTCTATAACGTATTTGCCTTGTAGTACCAAAGACTTCTGCAGCAAGCCTTCCACTATGATGCAAGTTCCAGTATGCAAGAGCTGGCATGGGGGAGCCAGGGAGGATTCAATAACAACCTGAGAAACATCAAATATAATAAAATAGTGCCACATAAATTTCACCATTGCCAAATAAAATTCATAAAAAAAGCTAGTTAACTACTCCAAGTAGCAAAATTATCTATACCACCTCTAAATTTTGTGTGTCACGCACCTCTATTAGAGATACGGTACAAGTATCATCAGTTGAGATGGTACAAATATTATTGCTCGTATTTACCTGAAGGCTTGCAACGCAAGAACCATCGCCGACTTTCAAGAAGACAGTGGAAGGCGGCGGGGACTTATGAATCGATGTTTCCAACTTATCCGTATATGGATAATGATCACCACTTCCTCCGCCTAAGACGTTGACAATTGTTCGTAAAAAAGGTATCCGAGACTGAAGAATTTCGATGCAGCTGACGTCTGACCTTGGTTCGGGTTCATCCGACACATAATCCCCAGCTATATGTGGCACCGGCTCTTTCCTGACCTCCTTGGAGGACTTCACCCATCCTCCAATCACAACCCTCTCACCAATCAACTCCCTTCTCTCCAAGATGGTTTTCAAGAGCACCCGATTCGAGTACTTGAAAGGGCTCAATCGGGTGGTGCTAGCAGCTGTGGCGGCTTGTTCAGATTCCATTTCGAGACAGAGAAACGAGAGTTGAAGAATGAAATGAGATTAGAATGGTGAAGATGTGATTGGGACATTGTTTGGTGGGTTGATATAAGAGGTTTAAATGCTTTGCTTGGGAGAGGAGAGAGACTGGGGAGTTGTGGGAGGCAAGGTTTGGTATTCTTCAAAGTTGGGCATTCGCGGGAATTTTCAAGCCTGGTATAACCGACTTTAAACCGTTCCTTTTTTTTCCAAATTTTTGGTCACTTGTTGAAAAAGAAGACCTATGTTGAAAGCCACATTGTTTATTTGATTCCTATATTCGCAAGATTTAACCGAATCCAATCCAAATAAATGATTTTCATTATTGATGGCTTTTATCAAGAATTGTCGTCCTTGATATTTGAACTCAAAATCTACTTCAATTAAGTGAAGATTGAATATCGTTAGACCAAATAATCATGTAGTAGTGATTATTGTTATTATTGAGGCTTTCCAAGGGTACAAAATTTACAACCGAAATAATCAAAGCCTCATCTTCAATCGTTATGTAGATATATATCTCTACCTCCCCATGATTATTTTTAACAGAAAATTGGTTAAATCAACCCGAAAGTGTTGGGCTTTATTAGCAAAAACCCATCTACTTTGTATTCTTTGATTATACTGTTTTACAATTCTTTCACGTCAATAAATTTTTCATTTGTCAGGCGGTAAAAATTTGAGATGACGTTGCTTTTGGTACACGATTGAGGTTGAAGTTGGGTTAAGCTGCACAATTGATTAATAATAATTTAGTATCAAATTCTTCATCTACGAAAATAAACTTCAGAGTACTCACTTCTAAAAGATTATTCGTTTTTATTTGTGAGAAGAAAAGTTTATGCTAAGAAGCAAAATCCAGAAGCATCAGACCTGAAAACCCTGATGCTGGTATTGTAGGGAAAACATCTTTTGTGTGTAAACCACACAGCTGGGGCTACGCTGCAGAATTGCTGTGTAGGAGTATAGATTCGTCGCCACCCTTCTAGAGGTGACAAATGATTTGCCAACTCAAAATCCCACACCTGCCCTTTCAAATCTAAAACTGGAACATGTCTCACATAGGGACGACAAAAAGTACCACGGGTTTGGTTTCCCGACCTTAATAGGGCGGTTATGGAAGAGTGCAAACGGGTATGGGGCGGGTTTGTGGATTGTTTTCAAATTCTGTGGCGGATATGGAGCAGTGATGGCATTACCATCACACGACTCGAACCTTGTTCGATTGGAGATTTTTATGCTACTAAATTAAACTTTAAAAATTCAACGGATTGGCGGTTGTTAAGCTATTACAATTGTGTGAAATTTTTATTATGTTGTAACTATTTTATTAGTTTTTCTTGTTTACATACTTGATACTTCTACTAGGTGGTTGATTAATTTATGATGCATAGAGATAGCCTATATATGTATATATGAGTGAAATATCCACTAATTAAATAAAATTTTCATGATATGCTACGAGTATTTCCAAAGAAGATATTAAAATGTCTATATAAGATATAACAGTAAAAAAAGATCACACTAATATTCTTCAACCGAAATGTCAAATCCTATGTGGCGATGACATGGATTGGCAATAAGAGAGTTGCTGTCAAATTTGACAGCAGCTTCAAAATTAATTGTTAATGCTTTTTATTGGTTTAATCATTATTGCAATTAATGTTGTTGTTGACTCATTTCCCTTTTGTTCAATTAAGTGAACGGTTCCCTCTTGTTAAAAAGAAACGTTGAAGGGTCCGGATTTCATAATTATTAAATGCCTTTTATTAAGTTTTTATTAATTTAATCATTTATTTTATAATATAATAAAATAATAATTTAATTTGACATATCCGACGGACAATAAAACTTTAAAAGATGTCAAAATGCCACATAGGCTGTCAAATTTACATTTTATATTTAAAATTTGACATCTCGTTTGAAGATGCTCTAATTGACGGATGCGGATTTGGAGGCAGTTTCCCATGCGGAGGCGAGGGTGGGGAACCCCGGATTAAAAACATGGTTATGGATGCAATTATTGGGTCGAGGTCGCGGTCGGGGTTTAAAGCGAATCGCTATGTGTGGTGGGGAATGGAGGGGTACCCCGGTCCTGTCCCGCGTTGTCATCCCGTGACATCATAAACTGTGGGCGTTACGGTCAATGCATTTTGACACACCTCTCCTGAGTCACTGCACAGATTTTTGCCACCCTATCTCTTCTCTGGCTGAGCAGCTCAGCTCATTGCGACACACCTCTCCCTCTCCTTCTCCTTCTCCTTCATTTCTTATCCTTCCAATACATTGGTCACAAATATTTCATCTCTCTTTCAAGGGGAAAAGAAAAAAGATGGCCAAATCCACAAGACCTATATTACTCTTACCATTCTTCATAATATTAGTCTTTGCAGCTTATGTTGTACAAGGTTATCCCTTCATAATTAAGCTCTTTCCTCCTCCTTCTTTTGTTTCCTAAATTCTTTCTTTAAGGCTTCCATTTATATGCTCCTTTTTCATAAAAAAAATTATATATGATACACACACACACACACATATATATCCATGTACATACATATATCTGCCTTTTCAAAGTTTTTGCAATTTGGTTTCCAAATTAAGGTTCACCAAATTGGTTGTTGCCCAATATTGAATTCCAGCTTCTTGGTTTTATCTTCAAATTTTTTTGGATTTTTTTTTTTATATATAGAAATGATAGTCTAAACTACTGTAATTTACGGAAACGAGAATTTGAACTTAGTTTGAGGGGGCAAGTACAGTGAACTAGCCAATTGGTCTAAACGGGTGTTAGTTGCTCAAAATTCTCCTTTTTCTCCGTGCTCCCACCACCAAATTTCCCAGCTTTAATAGCATTATTTAGCCAAGTTTGTTTCAACATTTTGATTTTGTGGTCTCATTGTTGTTGCAGGGTCCAGAACTCAAGTAGCAGAACTTCCACACAGTCAAAGGGTCAACGATTTCTCTACATCACAAGGAGAACAACTTAAGCAGGTGATAAACATTGCCAAACATATAACAAAATTAAATCAAAATAAAATCAGCATAATTTTTCTGATAATTTTTCTATAATTTTTCTGACAATAATTCTGCATAATTCTTGAGGATATAGAGAAGCAAGGAAAGGATGAACTATGTAAGGAGATTGATGATCGGATCCACAGCACCAACATGCACATACAATGAATGCAGAGGGTGCAAGTACAAGTGCAGAGCTGAACAAGTCCCTGTGGAGGGCAATGACCCCATCAACAGTGCATACCACTACAGATGTGTTTGTCATGGGTAAAATATTTCTTCACATTTGGGAGTTTGAGAGATGAGTAGGGACCTTGTTTCAATTTAAGATTCAACCATGTATCAGAATCTAAAATTCCAAATCTTTTTGAGGAAAAATAGTCCCATTTTTACTGGTGTAGCAGAATTAAGTTCAATGGGGTTGTCCTGAATTGGCTGTTGTAATCTGCTCTGGAGTTTTGAACAAAGGACAGCGCATCAATTTTTGGTTTACCAAGTCATATATTTTTCACTGTGTTTCTCTCTGTAATATCTGCCAAATTCAAAACTCAGAAATGTTGAGAGTGTGTCTCTCACATCGGAAAATTAAAGCTTTACATGATAATTTACATAATCTTGGGCATCTCAACCTACTGCCAATTGATTTTGGGTTGGAAGCTCACATTCTCGCGAGAAGTACTCAAGCAACATTCCAAAAGTATCTAGGAGACTAGGAATACATATTTTTGCTTTCCATTCCATAGTTCATGTTTTGTGTTTCACATTTGTTGATGCCACATGGTAAATTCAAATTAAGAACAAGTAGGGCTCTCAACTCTCTGGAAAAAAACAGAAAAATGCAGACAGAAAGTGAAAGTGGAGGGGTGGTCCTAAAATTTGGTCATAAGTAAACAAAGGTTCACATGGGGAATCTGTTACAATCCTTTTCCCCAGCACAAAATAACAAAAACTGAAAACAATAAAGGCAGAAAATGAGGACCCATTTTGCAGTGTGTACAAACAAGCATGAAACACTAGTCAGTAAAAGCTTTTCTTATACTGTAGTTTCTTCTTTTTCAGCATGTTTCCATGAAATTCCATTTTTTTGCGTGAATTCCAGAGAAAATATAGCATGCACAAGGACGGCGGAGGAAATTTTTAAAGCGTTTGGTTACGTGGTGTTACTAATTCATGTATTATAATATGAGCAAACAAACTTCATGGACCTAAGGTGGTACAAAATGAAAGAACAGATACACATGCTAGGGTTTAGGGTTTAGGGTTTAGTCTCTGTTGAAATTTCACATCACGACTTTGAGCCCAGTTGAAAAATCATCATTTTGGGCATTAGGCTTGAAAATGTGCACCTTCGGGCCTTCTTACATAAAGAGGAGCCCAATGCAGTTGATTGGGCCAAGATAAGATAATTATTCGTAGGGTAGTAGTTTCACATTTTTCGTTTTCTCATTTTGCACTCATTTCTTAATTTGTTTTTGTCATCGATTCACTTTGGATTTATCCAGTACAAATGTTCATTATAACTACAAGAAAAGAAAGGAAGTAGGGCAGAGGAAGAAACGGGAGTCCGGAGATTACAACCCAAATTTGCAAATATCCCGATGATGTTTAGCCTTTTAACATTGGTCAATACACAATGAAATCTTATCAATCAACATTAACAATCATTTAAACAATTCGAGCACCGATTCCTTCCATCTTGTTAGACAAAAATGTCAATTAGTGGACAAGAAAAGGTTAAACAAAAAAAAATCTTAGCTGCATGATCACAAGTACCCTCCAGAGTCTAGACGATATTAGTTAGTAGTCTTAGAGCATCTCTAGTGGAGTCTATAAATAGGGACAATTACTGTATAAAAGGGTATAAAATAAATATAGGGACAAAATGAATCTCCAATAAATCGGAAAATGAGTTCCTAAAGTCTAGGAACTCACTGGATACAAAGTGTATGTACTCACGTATAGGGACTTTATAGGGACATAACCTTGAGTAAAAAACGGGGCCTACAATCTTGATTGAAGGTTTTAATGCTTTTAATTAATTAAAAAAAGTTCACATAAGCAAAAATTGTGCACCTAATCAAATTATCACATAAAATCATAAAAACTTCAAATTGAGGAATTCTACTATAATAACTCTCATATTGGAGGCAATATTCCTTTAGGAACACAAATATTCCTTTTAAATGAGTACTCAAAAGTAGTGGTGGGAATTCCTAAATAGGAATTTACATCTGATCTTCATTCATGAGCATGTAAATGATCTTCATTCATGGCAGTAATTTGTCAAAGGGGTTTATATAATTAGCTAGGGTTTTTGAGGTGCGTATCTTCTGGTCTTCATTCATGAGCATGTAAATTATCCTTCTCTCTCCATGATATTCTTTTTTATCCTAAATTAATCCTTTATCTGTGTGTGTGTGTGTGTATTCAAATCTAACATGAATGCATGATTGGTCTGTTGCTTTTGGAAGTTATATGACACTTTGACACTCACTGGTTTCCGAGAAGCTTCCCGCCCATGAAACCACGAAACTATGAACATAAATTGGGATGAGTATCAGACAAGTATTGGGTCCCCGGCCTCTTCTCCATTCACTTTCTTTCTTTATTTGTTTGGTGGATCTTCTATTAACTTTCTACTAGGACCACGACATGACAACTTGTGCGTATATTACCAGCTGAATTATAAAGAATTTGTGACTTAGTTGGTTAAGAGTTTTTTTTTATATTTAAGGTATTGATGAATCCGACTCATCCTTTCTTAGTTCTCTTGAATAAGGAAAAAAAAAAGAAAAAAAAATTTCTGCTTGTTTGGAATGCTTCTTTGAAAGTAGTTCCGTTCAAAAGCACTTCCAATAAAAGTTCTTCTACACTTATAACACTTCCACTAAAAGAACTTCTACACAACAAGTACTTCTTTCAAAAAGCATTTCAAACACTTCAAGCTTTTTATACTAAGCATGATAAAATGCGTGTGCATGGTATATTTAAAAATTCTTTCACCTACCAAACGGTGAAGACGAGACTCTACACACCCGATCAGGTTGTCCCATAACCACCGTACTTCACCATTTCACCTCCTACTTCTTGTCATTGCTGTGTTTTAATACAATTTTTGTGGTTATTTATGTTTTCATATGATTATTTAATGAGACGAGGATGTACTTTAACACATAATGTAAATTGGAAAATGTCATAAAAACTTATAAGACTCTCAAAAAATTTCCAGTTTGGAAAAATTGGCTTAAAATGTCACATCCCGGCCCGGGTGGGACCACTTCCCGGGCCCGCTCCACCACCGTAGCACGATATTGTCCGCTTTGGGCCCCGACCACGCCCTCACGGTTTTGTTTCTGGGAACTCACACGAGAACTTCCCGATGGGTCACCCATCCTGGGATTGCTCTCGTGCGCTACTCGCTTAACTTCGGAGTTCCTACGGAATCCGAAGCCAGTGAGCTCCCAAAAGGCCTCGTGCTAGGTAGGGATGGGAATATACATTTAAGGATCACCCCTGGGCGATGTGGGATGTCACATAAAAGTTCAGCCCACGTCATTTTTATATCATGTGTCCGTGCCTACATCATAGTGGTTTCATTTCTAAGGTGATGAATGTATAGCAACCTGAAAAGATTACCATACTCCATTTTGTTACCAATAAAAGATGATCATTGCCTCTAAGTGGTGCTTAGCATGCCTAATACGCGTGGATTAATTAATTTAATTTTATTATGATCCCCAGAAACAGATAGAAAGAGATCAGATTACATGCAAGCCAACTATCCACCTTTTTTTAGTGCATAATCGTAATTGGAAGCAGCATATCAGATTATAATATAATCTCATTTGAAATGCGACTCTATTTTGTATTCAAAAGAGTGGAAGACTGTTTTAAGCCACAAATGAAGTTATATAACTAGATATTAAATTCAAGACAAAATGTTATTCATCTAAGTCAAACACGTGACTCTCAGTTATAAATATAAAAAAATACGGCTATATACCGTGTTACTAGTCGGTACACATTTTTATTCTTTTTATCTCCCATTTTTCCTCAACTAATACATAACGTAAGATATAAGCTATTAATGCGTTGCCTATCCCCCAGGTCTCTCTCACCCCACACGCAATAAACTATAAAATTGCTGCATAATATTCTAAAGCAAAACATTATCATGCAGATATGAATGTCAAACATGTAATATATTCTAGGTTGTATATGTATATATATTCTTACAGATAAAATTATATATATGTGAGGTGCATATATGAATATCACCCTCATATATAATATATTCTAGCTAGGGTTTATATATTCTTAGGATGAGGCTAAACATATTTTAATTAAGATCTGCATACGTATTTGTAGATTCAGTTGCCACTAAATTAGATATGCACTTTGCTGCCTCTCATCATATAAATTAAACTATCCACATGCATACCAACCACAATGATTAGTGTTTTAGTGGTGTGTGATTAAGTCCCTCAATTTTATTTTCCCTTTTTTTACTGTTTTCTGGGTACGGTGCGTTGCAGTCATATACAGAACATTGTATAATTGATGCAGTTAGGTAAAGGTCTTTGTTTGTTCGTAATATCATACTGGCATGTCATGAAAGTTCTCACACAATATTTTTGTACGGAGTAGAGGTAATGGTAAATTTCGGATTTTGACTCCTTTTGCAACCAAATAATAGCTCAAACATTACATAGAGACCCAACCAAAGAACAAATGTGTATGTAATATTTATAAGTTGCAACGTTACATCAGCATATTACGTAGTTTCACAGGCACATATATACACAATAATTCATTTGTTAAGAAAACTTGTTATTTTTCAGCTTTGACCGCAATTGCACCTATCATTGCTTGCTCAATCTTCATGTACACATGCATCACTTGGCAAAATGCATTCAAACCTTTGGGCATGTCTCTTGCCTAACGTGTTTGTACAAGAGAAATTCGTGTTGTATTCCTTCACATGCATTTTTTTTTTTTATCCTTGCAATGAGTATATATCAAATATGAAGGGTCGACAAAATTAACAAAGTTTGCTCATGAAAAAACTCAATTAAGAGTTCTTCAAATGCTGAATCATCAACTTATTACTAACTTTTCACATTGTCTTCTCAAGCAACATAATGATTGAGTATTTAAAAATGATTGGTGTTATCAAAATTTGAGATCAAAAGTTAATTAAACTCTAGATCATTTACCAATCTTTTTCTTTAAGAAGTCGAGGTTATATAATGTTGAATCTTCATGGATAAGTTCATGCTGTTGTAAGAGTTTATATATATTATATCAACCTGGTATTAGGGTTACAACATCATACAGACAGACCAACAAAGCGTGCTTCGATATTAGTGTTATTATTCTGCAAGAAAACCTACCTAAATGTGTCGCCATTGATGGAGGTTCAGAAGTAGTCTTCTACTTCCAGCACTCGATGGTATCCTCAACTATATGAAGAGGGTTTAGTTCTCAAGGATTAGAATGTGTGGAAGCAGAGACTGCTTCTATCAATATATATCTACCAATAACCATCTTTTAGCTAACCTAGAGTACACAATTTCCACCTTCAAAAGAAAATTCAGAATCGGGCCTTGAATATACAAGTGTCTGGTACTATATATGGTGGACTTAATAGATTGTTACTCAAAACTTTCATGGCAAATTCAGAGGTCTCATGTCATAACAGTTGGACACTGTGAGAAGGACGAGCAGAACACATGGTCCCTACAGAGCACACCACGTAACCAACCAAGAAATCATGCGAACTAGCTAACATGTGTCAATTCTCAGTACAAAAATAACCGACAGTAGCTAGTGTCCATTATACAACATTTTTTTCTATTTCGAGAAACATTTCAATTTATGTGAGGCACTATTATATGGCGTTATTTTCCTCTCAAATTATAGAATTTAACTACAATATTTACGTGTATTTAATATATTCATCATTTCAGGGGTCAGACATAAATTATATTAAATACATATGTTGACATAATTATCTCTAATTGTTATATTAAATACATTTAAGTAGCCAATCCCCAAATTATAATTTAATGGCTGCTCTTATTATTTATTATGAAATTGTATTCTAAAAGTGAGATATTTCATCTATTATGCCTGCTCTTATTATTTATTTTAATTATAATCACTTATTTGCAAGTACGGAATTTACTTAATGGTTAAGACATTTTTTTTTAAGCTTCTAATGCTTTCAGGGTTCAAATCATCCCATTTCTCTAAGTATAGATTAGTGTAGGTGCAATAAAAGTTAAACAATCACATCTTTTTGTTATAACACGTAAATAACCAATAATAAGTGAAATGATTTATTTCCAAGTTATTAACCAATAAAAAAGAAAAATAATAACTACAAATGTTTTAACCTCTTGGAGATCTTTGTGTAATCATTTCTATTGTTATCGTTAAATTAATTTAATTTAATGATCATAAATAAAATAAAATAAAAAGTGATTTTTGCACTGTCTATTCTGTCTCATAAACACCTTTGTTTAATTTGAACTCTTGATTCTATTTTATTTTTCAATCTGATGGTGTTAAACAAAAAGGAGTTTAAAAATTAAAAAATAGAGAGTTTTAATGAAAAGTTCACAGTACTGTTCGTTTTAATAAAAACCCATATTTTTACATTAAAAAGTCAAACTTGATACTATTCATTTTACCTTTTATGTTATCTTTACTGTTAAAATTCAAAATTTTCAATTCATTTTCATTAGTTTTCTTTAAAAAATAATGTGTAAAATTATTTTTGTAAAAAAATGCTTAAAATATAAAAAGATACTCATAAATTGTCATCGATTCCCTTCCAAAGGAACGCTTTATTTTCCAAATCTATTTGTCTCTTTTTTTTGTTTTAAACAAAAAAGAAAAAAAAGATTGAATATTTGGTCATCATGAACTCTATATATATTAAAAAACCCTGAGTCGCCTGACCAGGAGTAATTGCTTGCAGGGCAGAGAGAGCTTAGCTGTCTGCCTCTCCGTCATATCTTTCCTGCTTCCTCCCTCTTTAAATTTCCTCTATTTCTTTGCAATCATTCTCAATATTTCCCCTTGTTTCTAGAGAGAGAAAGAGAAGATGACTGGTTTTGCAGAAGGAGAAAATGTCACCCTTGATCTTCTCAAGAAGAAAATGGCCGACTTTGCAAAAGAGAGAGACTGGGATCAGTTCCATAGCCCCAGAAACCTTCTCCTAGCTCTGGTTTGTTCATCTTTCCAACCCATAAATATTCTTTCTGCTATTTTTTTGGTTGATAATTCTCTCATGCCATTTTTTTATGCCCATTAACTGTTTGATACGTGTTTTATTTAATAATTTGTATGATCCATGAAATGGGGAGAAACCTAATTAATAAAAATGTGATTGCTTTGCGATTTTATCATTATTTCGTATTTTTGCTTTCACTTTCATCATGGGATTGTGCAAGATTTGACCAAAGAATATATACACACAGCTGACTCACTGTAGTTTGGATTTTGCATATATTTAATTATAAACAAATTGGGGTTTTGTGGTTTCTGACTTCTTTTTTCTATTTTCCACGCGCTTCTTGACTGCAAATAGGTTCTTATTTTGTTTGTTTCCAACTCCTTTTCACCTTCGTATCAAACCCCAAATTGAGTTTTTCTTGAAGTTTGTAACTTTGTTTGTTTTAACCTACGAGAGAGGAGAAAGGAGAAAGGAGATTCGAACTTGTTGAGTGGTGAAAGTGTATATTGTTTAACCAGAGTCAAATTTGACTTGCTTTACAATTTACGATTTGGAAAGAGCTGGTTCTTTTTTTATTGTTTTTGTCACATCAAATCTTCAATTACCCCACTTTTCTGTGTCACTCTTTTTCCCCCCAAGTGCTTTTGGGCATTTGGCTTTTGCTTTTTCCTCAAAACAGCCAGAAGGGCGTTAAATTTTGGTTCACAAATTGATGCAAAGGTCTGGCCTTTTTGATGAAATTACAGGTGGGAGAAGTGGGGGAGCTATCTGAGATATTTCAATGGAAAGGGGAGGTTCCAAAGGGACTGCCAGATTGGAAGGAGGAGGAAAAGGAGCACCTGGGAGAAGAGCTTTCTGATGTGCTGCTGTATCTGGTCAGGCTTTCTGACATTTGCGGTGTTGATCTTGGTAAAGCTGCCCTGCGCAAGGTGGAACTCAATGCCATTAAGTATCCTGTTTCACAGAAGCAGAGCGAAACAACCACCACCACAGCTACCGCCACCAATGAGGAAATTGCACAGCTGGGATAATTCTTGGTTTCCAAACACCAACCAAAAGTTCTACTTTTACTGTGCTGTCAATACTATGTTTAGTGTGTTTTGGGGGGAATGTGTGGGGTTGGGGCTGTTAGAATAAGAGCTTTTTTAGGATGGTTTCCAAATTTTCATTGCATCAGTCAGAGGACCAGTAACTGGTGCTGTTTTATGTGCATTGATGATTCTCAGAGATTTTCTTACTGTTTTGGCTTTACTGATTCGCTGAATGGAATCCCTCTGACAGTTTGCCAGGTAGCCAAGTCCTTGAATTTTACTCCATGTTTAATTTTTCGTCTCTAAATTTTTATTTTAGTTTCTCTTTTTTCAACTTAATTTTGCAAATGGTCCTTACCTCAAATATGCCTTCTTTTTCGTCCAATTTAGGGTATAGTGATCTTTTTATACATCAATAAAATAAAATAAAATAATAAAAAGAGTTTGACTCCTTAAGGTTGAGGAGGAGTTCTTACTCAAAATACTTCCTAGCCTATTCACAGAATTATGTGTTTATGATCATAATATTTATATTATAAATTGCTACGTAAAGATTATTTCTGAAAAAAAAATCAACTAAAATTAAGATCTTTTAGTCAAATTCTTAAGAAATTCCGATCATAAACACGAATTTCTCTGAATAAGTTACGAGGTATTTTAAAGAACAGTACCTCCTCAATCCTTGAGGAGGCAAGGTTTTCTTTTTAAAAAATTTGTTTCCTTATTTTTTGGATGTAATTCCTATTTTATCCCTCAATTTAACAAAAACATTGACGGAGTTAACGAAAAAGACTATTAGTGCAACAAATGACATAATTCGAAGACGAGATAAATTATTAGTAGAGTTAAAGGACGTAAACTAAACTCGCGGAATGGATTAGAAACCTTTGCTACAATTTAGCCTAATTTGTATATTTCCTTTTCTTTTTCTTCATAATATATGCTAGCCTGCCCTATTTATCAAGTTTTTGAGTATTGGTTTTACTTTCTTTTCAAATGAGCAAGACTTTATGATATTAAATGATATTTTGTATTCGTCTTTTTTACTTTGTGAACACTCTTCGTCTCACCGATTTATTCAATTTAAAACGAAAGGTAAACAGTAATGTGTATGGTTAATGTGCGGAAATCACTTTTCTGTAAGGTGTTATGGTCAAATCAATTGAAGATTTTTTAACCTACTTTTGCAATAGTTTCATGTTTTGGAGGCTGAAAGTTGTTCAAGTTCAGTGTCTTTCCAAGATAAGGTTAATCTTGATTACAAGGTAATGAGTTGTCAAATTTTTTATTTACTTATGTCTATTCGATCAGACAGTTCAACAACACAATAACTTGAATTTGAATTCATTAATCGAACTGGTTCTTATTAACATGTGTTGTTTATATTTACGATTTTGGATTATGTTTGTCAATAGCATGTGATAGTGTATAGTGAAAAATCTAATTAAGAAAATGCGATCATATCAACTCACATGCACTGGATTCCATCAGAATTCCGAAGTTAAGCGAGTTTGGACGACAGCAGTTTTAAGATGGGTGACCTCTTGGGAAGTCCTCGTGTTGCATCCCCACCTCTTTTGGATGCGATCATACCAACTCACATGCACTAGATTCCATCAAAACTCCGAAGTAAAGCGAGTTTGGACATACCAACTCACATGCACTAGATCCCATAAGAACTTCGAAGTTAAGCGAGTTTGAACGAGAGTAGTACTAGGATGGATGATCTCCGCATAAGTCCTCGCGTTGCATCCCCTATCTCTTTCTTCACCATAAATAAATAAAAAATCTAATTAAGAGCATCTCCACTGGTTAGAGCATCTCCAATGGACTTGCAATTGGGTTAAATTGCAAGTCACCCCAAGATTGTTGCTCCACCGGTAAAAAATAAAAATTAAAAAATTAAAAAAGGAGACAATTGGGTTGAAGGCAAATACCCCTTTCAATATATTGACCAAAAAAATTGCAAGCCGCCCCAAGATTGTTGCTCCACCGGTTTTAAAAAAAAGGAAAGGGAGACAATTGGGTTGAAGGCAAATACCCCTTTCAATATATTGACCAAAAAAAACACTCCTTCAATAATTGCAATAGCATGGGTCCAAGTGAAAGCCCAGTAGACAATGTATGGGACCGGGTCCCCACTCCCTCCCCCCCCACCTCCAAAAAAATAAAAGGACCCGACTTCTCTGCCCTCTCAGTTCTCATGCATTCTCTTCCTCACTCTCCCCCTAAATAAAAGGACTCGGCTTCTTTGCCCTTCCAGTTCTCATACACTCTCTTCCCCTCCTATTTTACGGTCCCACCTCCCCCCTAAATAAAAGGACCCTGCTTCTCTGCCCTCCTATTTTATATTGATTTTTTTATCGAGATAATAAAACAAAAAATAATATTCATATAAAATATTGACGTGACTTAACTGTGACCGCACAAATAAAAGAAGATAAGAGTACGAGAAGAGCAGAGAAGCCAAGTCCTAAATAAAAACCCAAAAAACCCCAAAACCACGTGAAGCCCATCAGACTTTTGATGTTGCAGCCTGCCACGTTGCTCTTTGTGGGCCTTAGATTAAAAAAAAAAAATCTCCAATTCAAAGGTTAGGATTAAATCCAATTCTAAAAAATCCAAAAACAAAAAAAAAATCATAAAAATTCAAAAAATATTTCAAAAATTCAAAAAACTTATAAAGTCCAAACTTTAAGTTTCTAACAAAGTTCAAAACACTTGCAAATTAAATATTTAAAATTATTCAAAAATTTACGGTCATAATGATATGTGGGGATAAGGCAAAGAAAACATTAAAAAAATAAAAAATATATTTGTGAATAGTAATTGCATTTGCCTTGCCCTTCCTCCTTCCAAACTGATAAACTTGCACAAAGACAAATATTATTTAGAGTGAATAGTGAGGATCATTGCCCTCCAAATTGCCATTGACTTCCACCAGTGGTGGAGATGCTCTTAGTGGAAGTCAAGGGCCATTGGGAGCATTGCCCTTACCATTCACTCTAACAGTAATTGCCTTCGTACAAGTCTACTCGTCTAGGAGGAAGTGTAAGGACAATAGTGACTACTATTCACCAATATATTTATTGTTATTTTTATTTATGTTTTTTTGGCCTTATCCCCTACATGTCATTATTTTTCAAATAAAGTCTAATTCTAATAAATAATTTCAAATAAATGGAAAATCATAGCACTACAACAAACATAATTAATTTAAACTAGGGGATAAAATCAGTGTGTCTCCGTCCATCTTCCCTTGGAGTCCGCGAAAAATCTTATTCTCATGACCCGATTTTTTCACTTCTCAAAAAACTAGGGGTGGGCACTTGAAACCGAAACCGAAACACGAACCAAATCAAACCACACAAAATGGTTCAGTTTTGCGGTTTTGAAATGGTTGTGGTTTTGAAACCGAACTGCATTGTAGGAAACAGTTTGGTTTTGGTTTTGGCTTTTGAAAATCGCACCGAAATCAAAATCGCACCTTAAATTAGATGTCCTGTTTTAATTAGTTGTTTGTTAAAGTCCATACATTTAGTATGTACATGTCATAATAATGATTATTTTTTTCCAAATTATATCCCTCATCAAGCTTGGCATCTCAATGTTTCTTTACAGGAAAAGATGAAAATTTTATTACTAGTAAAAGCACCTCAAAACCCTAATTTAAAAGTTCAGAATAATGGCCTATATAATAGACGAATCAGAAATGCAAATGAAAAATAAAAAAGAAACAATGAGCATCAAATAAGAGTAGTCACAGTAGGAAAGATACAAGGACCGAATCTCTAATCAAGTAATAAGCCGCAGCACTCCATTTGGGTACTTTTTCTTGCTCACAGAGTCTATCATCTGTGCAATTAGCTAGCTAGAGTAAAGAAAAGAATTCTCATGTGGGTTGGTTAATTAATGTATTGTGTGGAAAATGAGACCGTGTTTTGTGTAGATAAGTATAAATTTTAAATTGTATATATTTTCTCAAAAACCAAACTGAAACTGTTTGAAATTGCACCGAACCGAACCAAATGGTTTGGTTTCATTTCGGTTTTGGCTTCAAAACCACACTGCAAAAAGTTGTGGTTTCGGTTGCGATTTCACTCAAAACCGCACCGAATCAAACCATGCTCACCCCTACAAAAAACGTTTTGAAGTTAGGAGACTAATCGTCAAGGCGTTGGACATGATCTCCGATCATTCTCCTCTTGTCTTTCTTGCCTATATATTCAACTCCCTTTCTCCCACCTTTACTTCATCTCTAGCCTTGTCTTGCTCATACGTTAACTTGTCTCGTTCCATATGCAGCGCATGTTGGCTAGCCAATTCATCAATTAATTTTGAATAATCATTATTCAAAGAAGTCCCTCTTCCAACTTTTTTCTTAGCAGCCTTCTTACCAATAAACCTCGTTGTTTCTTTATTTTGTGTGACCGATTCAATCGGAGTCGCCAATGGTGTCTCAAATAAGGTCTCCAATGGTGATCTTTTTCAGTAGTAGGTGATTCGTGCACTGGAGTCTCATTCAACTGAACTTGTGGACAAATAGGGAAAATTTTGTACTTCGGAGTTTGCTTCACAATATTCCAACGTTCGTGCCTTGTGAATGATCAAGATTAAACCACATTTTAGCTTGAGTTGCTATAAAAATATTTGTGAAACAACATAAAGATATATATAATAACATTAGAAAAAATTAACATATTAATTACATTTTAAATTTTATTAACAATAAAAGAATATTACCACATCGGCTAGATTAGTGCCCCTTTGATAAATTCCTTTCACTTTTGCAAGTGCTTCTTGCCAATCTTTCAAATCTTTATGCATATGACATAGATTGCACACTCCATAATGTGCCTTGAATCTGCTCGACAAATTATGCATGAATCTTATTCCACATGTGTTGTACTTTCATCTCATTTCTAGTGATCAGGTCATGAGTAACAAGCACCAATGCCTAAAGCACAGCAACATCTTCCCCAATCGACCAATTTGACTTCTCATTCATTTTTCTTTGTAACAAAATGAGCTGGGAGGTAGAGAATAAATATGGGAGATTGTAGTAAAAATAAATATTGATTATGGTGTGGAGAATGAAGAATATGGTTGGGTATTTATAGAAAAAAGAAATTGGATGTTTTTTGGTATTTCTTAATATTTTTTGGATTTTTTACCATTAGAATAATCTTAGCATTGATTTTCAAAATTATTACTGTTAGAAGGCCAAGATTGTGCCACATGGTAACTGACTAGAAATGATTTATTTAATTTTTTTTTTTTCAGTTGAAAAACCAATGGTTCAGATGAAAGGATAGTTAAAAATCTAATGATCAAGAAAGAACCGTTTGCCTCTGCCACACACCACGTGGGCAGGCCACCTTTTGTCTTTAGCTAAATGTGACTTGATGTCACATCTCCTCCCAGGCACAAGTCGTGGCATTAGTTGGCAGTCTGCTGCCTTTCACATTGGTTTTTTCCACTGGTGGAGCTAGGGATGGTCAAAATACTCGCAGGTATGGGTAACTACAGTTACTCGTCTATTTAAAGTTCATGATTACGGTTATGGGTAACTGTTTAAACAAATAAACAGTTATTAGTATAATCATTTACCTGTGAAAATTAAATGAGTGATTATGGATGTTACTCGCAATTACAAACGCATACTATTTAACCGTTGAATATTGGTAAAATTAAAAATAAATGAAAATAAAAAACCCTAAAAATTATTCGACCTCTCCGAGACTCCCGACTGCTATTCTCTCTCCTTGCCGCCCTCGCTCTCATCAAGTTTTCTCATTTACTTTGTTTTTCCACCAAGTGTTATTAGTAGATTTATCTCACATTAAGTATTACTAGTAGATCCTTATCAGAATCTCATATTTGAGAGGCACGTACCCCCAATATACATGACTTGATTCCAACAAACAATCTGAGAGTTTAGATTATGTCCCTTTGTTTAACTTAGTGACCAATAAGGGGGACTTGGATCCTCTCCTGAGCCCAAGGAGAGGATCCTTCTGACCAAATGACTTAGGTCGTTGGATGAAAATCTAACGGCTACAAACAGGAAGGTCTCTTTAGAGTTATAATAATTATAACCATTGAATTTTCATCCAACAGCCCAAGTCCTTTGGTCAGAAGAATCCTCTCCTTGGGCTCAAGAGAGGATCCAAATGGTTCTCCTCTCTACCGCACATCATTTTCAGCTGCCTCTCCTTCAGCACTTGCATAGGCAGAGTGGAAGTCCATTGCGTGAATGACGATATTGGTATCGAAATCAAGGTCATATTAAGACAACGTAGATTGATACGAAAGATAATGATTACCTTTAGATTTTAGATACTTTACTTAGGAATCATATGGAGTTTGATTTATTTTACTCTTGGTCTAAATGTTATAATTGAAGACTTGCTGGAGTGTAGTGGAAAAGTATGTTGAAAATGCATAATAAATGTAACAATAATGATGTTTAATTGTCAGAAAAAGAAAATTATGAAAAATTTTATTTTTAATTTTTAACTTGTTAAAACGGGCAAACGGGTAAAGAATCAGGTAAATGGTTACGGTTAAATGGATATGCGGTTATGAGTACAGTTAATCATTTATAAACAGTTATGGGTATGAATATACCTATTTATGAAATTATCCAACGAGTAAACGGTTATGCATGTATAAGCTTAAATAGCTATAGGTAAATAACGCGATTATCCGTCCATCATAACCATTATCCATCCCTAGGCGGAGCCACTTTCTTTGGACAAGAAGGCAGTTCCACCCATTTGCAGAGGCAATTAGAGGCTGCTGGAGAAGCAAACTTGGAATATGAAGCACAACATTGTAATCGATTTAACTAAGCCCAGCTGATAAAACAATGAAACGTGAATCAATTAGAAAAGAAAAAAAAAACAATGTGACTTGAGAAACAGTGAAAGTGCAGCGGTGACAGCTCAAAGTATGAGACAAGTCATATTGCTGTAGGCATATGTTAAAGCAGCCTGCAAAGTGTAAAAGACAAAAGGATATGCATGTTTGTGGGACCAGTGGTATTAACACGATTATTACGTTTTCTGAAATTGAAAGAGGCAGCTCAACTGAACTGAATGTTACTCAACACAAGAAATCAAAAAGATTTTACTGCCGGATAAAGTAGGCGTGTGCAATTAAACGTGATTAATCACTCAATTTGATTGATCGTAATTGATCACTCAATTTAAGCTATTGAACAATTAAATGCGTTGGCATTAAGTGTATGTAAGTATTTTCGAAAAATCGAACTTTGGCACCTTCTTAGGCTTCTTTTGCTGACAGAGTTATGAGAATCACATTGCTATCACAAGAAAGTAGTTGGGTATATGGAAATTATTGTTCAACATTCACAAAAGAAGAGTGATTGTATGGCATACACCACACATCCAAGGGCGAAAAGGGGGTTAAGAGTAATTGCGTATCATACATTGTTGTATAGTAAAATTTTTTTGCATGAGAAACGACCCTAGAACCTAGAGTCAATATTGGTAAAGGTACAAAAATTGGATCTCTTGGAGAAATTCTTGAATGCAATTATTAAACCGTATCAAAACAATTGGTCAAGTATCCAACGCGTAAATTATTGGATATAAGAGTGTAGATCGAACTTGAGACAACTTTCAACATGAATTGTGCATTGTCATTGGTGAATCGTATGAGGATATGGGTTTCATGTTCTGCTTTGCTCGAAAATATTTGGATTGGGCTTTTCCGGCTAAAAGAGCCTTTGGACTACTTTTTGTAAGCAACAAAATTGTGACCATGTAATGCTTTAACTACAATGGGTAAGGACATTTGAACGTGCCAAGAAGCAGATACATTGTCTTTTCCAACTGGCTTAAAACTTCAACGTATTATGAATCCATTCATTACACTATCATGTTTTGCTTTCATACACATAAAGCACTTTATCATGTTTAAGAGTGCATATATTGAACTGTTCCTATGTAAATTTACACAAAAAAGGAAAGACCCAACTTGATACAAAAAATTCACAACAGATTTTCACGCCTTTTTTTTTTCAATGCGAGGACGATTCTTTTCCCCCAAGCGTCTGAATTATAGCTTCCAAAAGTTTGATTTCCTTGTCGCGCTTGGCGATTTCTTCTTGCTTGGCACGCAACTCTTCCATGTGCAGCTCAAAGACCTTTGAGGTGTTCTCGAGCTCTTTTGTAACTTCCTGCGCATGCAATTCAGCTGCCTTTTCTGCTGCCTCGGCCTGTCGTTTTTCTGCACGAGCACGAGCAGCAGCTGTAATGGCAGCATCAAGTTCTCTTTCCAAAGTTTCTACCCTTTGTTCAAGAACCTTGATGGTTCGAGCTTGTTCGGAACAAAGTGAAGCTTTAGCGAAGGTCTCCTCTTCAACAAAGACGGCCTTTTTAAGGAGCAGCTTCTGAAGTGACTCCAAATTGAAAGCCATTTCTGTCAGATTGCCTATGGCTCCGTTCCATCTTTCGCTTCCTTTGCCCTTGTCCTCCATTTTCTTTCAATACCGCTGTTTGAAGACGACCACAGTACCCTAATAATCCATGCAATAGTTTAAAAACAGAAAAACATGTTTCAAAATAACATGCTGAAATACCAACACAAAGGAAAATGAATCAAGAAGAACAAAAAACATCTTCAGACCAGAAACAAAAAAGCATAGTGGCACAAATACATCGTACACATTACAAACTATATGTCTAAGCAGAATTTTTTTCCTATATTATTCAACATTTATGGGAAGTTCTCCTAAGTTTTGGAAATTGCTTCTCTGAGGCATCATTTATTTTGATTAAGATGCAACATCCAAACAAAGTTTCAAGACATAAGATCCGAAAAAATTTACAGAGAAGACATGACACACTTTCATAGTCTTGTGGACAGACACTATCACCATTCGAATCATAACATACACTTCCTAGGGCTAAAGATTGTTTTCTGAACATATTATACATCAAGCATGATGCATCAACTTAAGCACAATCAATTAAGAAAACTGTAATATTGGCCCAAAATTCTAATTTGACAGAGTAATCGAACTTCACAAATTCCTTAACAAAAATGCATCCCGCGACCCAAAAGAGAGACAGCATTCATTTTGTTCTTCGACTTCTCTAGTGGTTAAAGAATATATTAGACAACGCAAAACATAATTTTGTTTAGCACATTCACAGAACTTGACAAATCATACTGCTTTTGAGAACCAACATAGCAAATTACCAGAAGCTAACACCCAACACATCAAAGTATGTTAACGAAAATATGGCCTCGAGCGGAAACTACCCATTTATATTTTAGGCACAAAAATATAGAATACTTCACAACATCTAGGCTATTTAACCACAGACTAAACATCAAAACTGAATAATCTATGACTTGAGGATCGAAAATCACATTTTAGCTAAACATTGAAGTGCCATCTCTTCTACAGTTTGTACATTTATACCTAACACCCACCACCACATGAATTTTCATTAGAACTTTATTCCCTAAGAAAACTGTAGTAGCACACCACCCTTCATACTCTTGTTAAAAAATTCAGCTTCCAAACCCATAAAAAATCACACAAAATCACAATTTGAGATATGGGTATTTCAGAGGAAACAAACCAATCTAAAACCAATAAAAATTCACAAAGTTTTCGAAGTGGGGTTGGATTTGGGGATTTGATTTGATCCAGCAGGAATCCAACACTGTTGGGGTCATCATAAAAAATCAATACCAAGAAAGAAAGAAAAAATCGAAGAATTACAAAACTGAGAGATGGGTATGTAAGAGAAACTAACGTGGAAGAAGATGTTCCCCTTGAAAGGCTGAATTCAGAGTCGACGGAATCGAGGGTTCTTCACCTTGTTTACGAGAAAGGGAAAGGTTGGGGGGTTTAAAAATGGGAAGTGGTGGAATTCAGTTTAGTTTTTGTCCCGCTAATTTACTTTAAGTTTCACTTTAGTCCATGTCTTTTCAATTATTTTACAGTTTACGATCTATTTGTTAGACATCCGTCCTTGGCTGTGAATTTTTCTGTTAATGAAATATAAAAAAATTAAGAATTTTTTTATTCTGAACAAAATTAAAATTAATGACAGCGTGGGTTGAACCCCTTTCGTTGCTTTAAATTCTTTGAAATTGACCCAGCCAATCAAGATGATCTTTAAAATTGAAAATTAATCAATGTTAAAAATGGATAGTGCAAATCAATGTTGTTCTTCCGTTTGAATTCCGTTAAAAATTTGTAAGTGTGCTGACATGGCACGCCATTAGATGATGACAATGCATAAACATGGCATTGTGGGACCTACATATTTGATGACGTGGGAAATAAAAAAAGTTAAATATTAAAGGGAATTGTTATTATCATTCTAAAAATCTCATTTTACACTCTAAACTTTCTCTATTAGGAAAGAAAAACACACACACACACACACACACACACACACACACACACTTATGAGGAGTGTAGAATGAGATTTTTGGAGAGTCAATAACACTTCCCATATTAAAAATCAATTTAAAAAAAAAAAATCGGCTCCACCCACCTTCTTCTCTAGGGACCTAACCACGAAGTTAGGCAACGGCGGTTTCTGGGTTTAGGGTTCAGAGAACGATAATTTTTGGGTATGGGATCATTGGAAATTTACACATACTTGCAAATCTAGTAGAAAGAGCACATGGGTCTCTTCCACTTTGGCGGCCAACGAGACGTAGGAGTCTCGCTGCGCTGGGTTACCCAAATCTGAATTTTTTCTGGATTTTAAATTTTGGGTTTCCAATATTTTATGGGGGGTTTCTTGTAGGGGTGGGCACGGGCCGGGCCCGGCCCAAAATTGGAGGGACCGGACTGGACCCGCTTGAAAATACAACAGGGCGGGGCGGGGCGGATCATGCAAAAATTGAAATAGGAACCGGGCCTAATCCGGCCCGTTTCAAACGGGCCGATTCCTTGGGGCCTCACGGGTACATTTCCAATTCCTTCCCTATCAAATTTCCAAGTACAACCATTCACCAAAAATCTCAAAATTCAATCATAGTTTACACACCCAGTTGATCTCCTCAGGAAAAACCTTCAAACTTTCAAAGCAACAAACTTTAATTAAAAAAAAAATTGAATTTTAGACAACCCAGAATCCCAGATGACTAATTTCCTAAGATTGCATTACAATATAACCCAATTGATCAAAATCCAAAATTTATCAATTTACCACAGCTTTAGCTCTAAGCAGTGATTGCATGCATCAGAAAAAATAACCAATTCCTTCTCTGGATCCTTTTTTTTTTAATTACTTAGAATCTTCCACAAACAACTTGAAATCAAGAAACAAACCCGAGAGATAGCACCAATGGAAGACGCCGATCTCCTTCTCCATGAGACCATCGAGGAATGCGGTGTTGTCCTCGTCTTTCTTGATCATCTTTGCCGTGCGATCATCAGCAGAGCTTGGCTTCCATGCAAATCTGAGTCAGACGGAGGGGATGATTGATTCGTCGTTTCGAGTTATTTGACTTCGTTGTTCGTCCCCTTGAGTTCGGCAGAGAGAGAGACTAAGAATCAAGAGGGATAAGAGTTCGATCAAGATGGAGGACTATAAGAGAGAGAGATCAAGATGGAGGACTGAGGAGAGTCTGGGAGAGTCTTTGAGAAAGTGACGGTCAGATTTAAGTGTGTGTGTGTGAGATTAAAGTGGCACGGCACTAGGCTAGGCCTGTTTATTGGATACGGTTCGGGTCGAGGGCCCGTGTTTTCAGAATACTGGATCCACCCCACCCCGCTGTTTACTTGGACTTGACCTGCCCCGCCCCGTTTTGTATATAAAACAATATGGACCCGTCCCAAACCGCCATTACCCGCCCCTACCCGTGGGCCCAGGGCCCGTTTGTCCACCCTAGTTTCTTGCTTCCATTGAAGAATGGAATTAGATATTAGTGAAAGTCTTGTGTCTTTGAATTTGATTGACGATGATGAGATCCATGGTTGTCCGATTCACCAGTTTGTTTCATTTCCCTCTGAGGCTATGGCCAAATTATTAGAGACCCAAACTTTTTAAGCATCCCCAATCTTAAAAATCATCATTTTTGTAATGGGTTGATGTGTTTTTCCAAGCCTTGTACTCTTTCGCCACTCTCAGATTGGGAAGCAAGAGGGAAGAGGGTGAGACGGACGGAGCGGGTAAGAAGGGTGAGGACTGATGGGTTGGTAAGGGTGGGGCTCACAATAATCTCTTTTTTTTTTTTGCAAAAAAAAATTTAATTTTTAAAAATTTGGTAAGGGTGGGGTCCTAATGTGACACGTCAGCATACAAACAGATTTTTAACAGAATTCAAATGGAAGGACAATATTGATTTGCACCACCCATTTTCAAGGACTATATTGATCGATTTTCAATTTCAGGGACTATATTGATTGAGTGGGTCAATTTCAGGATTCATTTGTAATAAAAACCCTTTAATAAATATTTCAAAAGCTTCTGATTTATTTTTTCTTAGGAAAAATCCAACAATATCGAGAAATGAGAATAATCATCTACAAACAATAAATAATAACGAAAACCTTCATTAGCATAACTGGAGAACACCAAACATCCGGATGTAAAATTTGCAATGAAAATCAAGAAACAGACTTTGAAGAACTAAACGATAACTTAGTACTTTTTCCTAGTGGACATGAATGACAAAAGGTTACATCTGAAACACCATGAATTGGTACTCGTTCATTGAAAATTAAAAACTTGATTATTGATGACGCAGGATGACCAAACCGAGAGTACCACTTTTGGGCGGAAACTCGAATGCCTACCCACGCTGGAATAAGGTAATTTAAATTGTCCAATGTCACCTAGAAATGGGTACAAACCATTCTCACATCTCTCGCAGAAAAGCGTCTTCCGAATCTTAAGGAAAAATCGGTAAGTAACATTTATTGTCTAGGGTAAACCTATGGGCATATGTAATATTTGTGGAAGCAATAGGACATCTTAGGATATTTTTTAATTCATATGAGCAAGATTTAATATGAATTTTATTCGAACCACAATAAGAGATTGAAAGACCAATATCATTACCTATTCCACCAGCATTCTCATTATTGATGTATTTTTTTTACATTCACCAAGTTTTGTATATCTGGAGTAACATGTGCATTAGCACCATTGTCCAAGAGCCAATGTCCATTATTCTACCTATTGAGCGTGATTGGAGAAGATGTCATTGCAGGTAAGTGTTTGCTGGAATTCTACCTTCATAGGCTGCATTCATCATTTGATAACAATTAAGGGCAAGATGCCCTAGTTTCCCACATATTTGGCAGGTAATCCTTTCTCCTGCATGATTAAACCTCTCACCTTGGCATGCAGCATTGCGTGGATTATTGAAATTGTTGTTGTTGTTGCGGGGAATGAAACCACGCTGGTTGGCTCCACCACGAGCGAACAGAGAACCACCACGTGCAGTACCACGAGATCGTCCTCCACGACCTCCTGCATCCACGAAAGCATTCACAGGAGCCGCATTCACAAGAGGAGCAACTTGTTCTGCCATTATTTGTTTTCGTAGCCAATAAGAGAGCTTCGAGGGTAGGATACATGATGGGAGTATCATGTGCTTGAGTCGCACTCATTGTCATCTTGAATGCAGGTCCAAGATTGTTCAGGATGATCAAATCTAATTCATCATCACTCATAGGTTGTCCAACTAACGCAAGACTATCAGCAATAGTATTCATGCGATCCAGGTAATCCGCCACAGAGAGGTCACCTTTCCTTGTCTATAAGAATTCATTTCTCAAAACAAAATCCGACTTTGGGATGTAGAGGCATGCGTTTGCTCAAGAGCTTCGTAAGTAGCCCGAGCAGTGCATTTGCTAGCAACCACAAGCAAGAGACAAAAGTTCCAGGCAAGTTCTTTTTTTTTTTGGGGGGGGGGGGGGGGGGGGGGGGGGTGGTGTGGGGCGGGGGCACGCTGTTGTGCCATCAACATACCCTATAAGGTCTCTGCTATTGAGGATGGGCAGGATTTTGGCCAACCATAAAGGATTGTTAGTCTTGTACAGTTTAATATTGACAACAGTTGTCATTGAAGACAAGAATGGGCAAAGGCGGCATTGAGGGGGAGCGAAATGTGCAATCGCACAAGATCCCCAAATTTGAAAGGCCCCCAAAAATTTTTGGTATCTTATATTTATATGTAATAATGTTATATATTAAAAAAATACTTTTATTAGCACTTTAAAATCCTATAGTGCACTTTTATAAGTGTAATTTGTTCTTTCTTTCTAAATATAAAAATTTGGAGTGCACAATGAGATATTAGGAGTACTAATAACACCTTAAAAAACAATTTTCTTTTCAATTTTATTAATTATATAATAATGCTATATATTCAAGTGAAACTGTAAAGTTAGAGTTTTTGAAGCCTTTTTTTTTTCTTTATTTGATTGCTTAAGATCGAACTGTTTTTTATTATTTAGTGAATGTTATGTTTGCAACTCTTTTTACTTATTTAATGACACTTGTAAACTTACAATCAGTGAGTCCTAAATATTGTTTTGTTTTAAGTTATTATTTTCTAGTACCAATATATTGTCATACTTTTTAAAAATATACATCTTAAAAAGGGACATTTTTATAAATTTTGTACATGACCCTCGAAATCTTGTAGACGGCCCTGAGAATGGGTTCACAGGAAGCATGGTTGGAGAGGGAGTGGTGTTGTTGGTAGTGGCAGTAGTGTTGTTTTCAACAATTGAACACGATGGTGGGCAAGACCGGGTAACGTAGGAGACATCTTTATTTTTCCTGGGGGGAATCCTTAGAATTACCGCTGCTTAACTTTCAATTCTCTCACTTCAATTGCATACCCATTTCGACGATGGGTTACATATATTTATAACACTTTCAGATTACATCTAGGATGTTGAAATCCTTATTTAAAAGGAA